ACACAAGCAGGGGGAGTGGGAGAGGGAGAAGCAGGCTTCCGGCAGAGCAGGGAGCCCGATGTGGGACTCGATCCCAGGACCCTGGGATCATGACCTGAGCCGAAGGCAGACGCTTAACGACTGAGCCACCCAGGTGCCCAGCACTACATTTCTTAAGAGCTACTTGGCTTTCACCATTGGCTTAGTATTCTATATCATGCAGCCTTCTGATTTCATCTTTCTAGAAAGATGGACACCTACATGGCCTCCAGCTTCCCACTTAATGAGTATCCTTACCTCGTGCAAAACCTTCAATGAATATAAAAATGCGGAACAGAATTACCAAGTCACAGCTCTCTCAGTTTAACAGAGACCCCATAACTGGCTTAAATAAGGAGAATGTCTCTGTGGGCCGACAGCTGGGAGCCCCAAGTCCTTCTGTCAGTTGCTGCGCAATCCTCTAGGGTAGTATCTCCGAGGACATTTGGCTCAGTCTAGAGACCTCTTTGGCTGTCATACTTGGGGAGGGAGGGAGCTACTGGCGTCTACTGGTGGCCAGGATGCTGCTCAATACCCTACCATGCACAATACCCTATGATGCAAGGACAGTCCCCCACCACAAAGAACAATTTGGCCCTAGAAAAGTCCCCACTCCTTTTTTCCAGGACTGACTTGTTGAAGAGACACCCCAGCCTCTGGATTTGTCTGTTGCTTCCAAACGTTGTCTTTTTTTTTTTTTTTAGATTTTATTTATTTTAGGGGGCAGGGAGGGGCAGAGGGAGGGAGAGGAAGAATCTCAAGCAGACTCCCTGCTGAGCTCAGAGCCGGACACGGGGCTCGATCCCATGACCCTGAGATCACGACCTGAGCTGAAACCAAGAGTCAGACGCCCAACAGACTGCGCCACCCAGGCGCCCCCGATATTGTCATTTAACTTGTCTCTCAACCCTTTCCATTTTCTGCAAACTGGATGTTAAGCTGAGAGATTTAATCAGAGTCAGGTTTAACATTTTGGCAAGATGTGTCGTAGGAGAAGCTGTGAACTTACTTTTGAGGACGCAGGTCCCTTTACTGTGACGTTGAGCTTCATTGCAGCTAACACTGGTGACAATCTGGCCTCCGTGACAAAGTCCACTCCCCTACAGCCAGCGAGCCATCCAGCACCCTGTGCGTATATTGTTCCCCATCATCCTTTCACCTGTAACACCCAATAGGCTTTATAATGCCTATTGATGATCACTGCCCAAATCAGTTGTTTCCTTGGCTTTTGCAAAATGGTGATTTTTTAAATTCTCCCTTTCCTTCTAGGTTTTTAAAAATATTTTATTTATTTGAGAGAGAGAAAGTGAGAGAGAGCATGAGAGGGTAGAGGGTCAGAGGGAGAAGCAGACTCCCTGCTGAGCTGGGAGCCTGATGCGGGCTCCTCATCCTGGGACTCCGGGATCATGACCGAACCAAAGGCAGTTGCTCAGCCAACTGAGCCACCCAGGCGCCCCCCTTTCCTTCTAAATTTTTAAGCTAATACTAGGGAGGCAAGACCATCCTTAATTCCTTACTTTTAATTACCAATGTTTCAGAAAGGAGTTGGTCAAGAGCTGCTTCCAATGGTATAATGTGTGCATGTGTTTTAAACTTTCAAATTGGAGCATAATATACATAAAGTGCACAGATTTTTTTTTTAGATTTTATTTTTATTTCTTTTATTTTTTTATTTTTATTTTTTTTTACAAACCCTTGTGTCGAGGGCTGACTTTCAATAGATCGCAGCGAGGGAGCTGCTCTGCTACATACGAAACCCCGTAGATTTTATTTTTATTTATTTACTTGAGAGAGAGAAAGTGGGAGCAGAAGGAGAGGGACAGGCAGACTCTACACTGAGTGCAGAGTCCTACGAAGAGCCTGATCTCATGACCTGAGCTGAAATCAAGAGTCGGAGGCTTAACCCACTGAGCCACACAGGCGCCCCAAGTGCACAGATTTTGAATGGAGAGCTCAGGGAATCTTTATATCTATATACCCATGCAATGGGGCACTTGGGTAGCTCAGTTGTTAAGCTGCTGCCTTAGGCTCAGGTCATGATTCCAGGGTCCTGGGATTGAGCCCCGCATTAAGCTCTCTGCTGGGCAGGAGGCCTGCTTCTCCCTCTCCCACTCCCCCCGCTTGTGTTCCCTCTCTCGCTCTCTCTGTCAAATAAATAAAAATCTTTATATACCCATGCAAGCACTATCAGATAAAAAATTTAGAACATTTCTAGCCCACACTGCCTTCCCTGCCACAAAGGCTTATAATGAATATTTGTGATTGAAGAAATGATTTCAGGCTTGGCTGTGCCCATCTTGAGGCTTAGGGATGTCAGGAAGGTGGGGAAATGGGTTGGAGGTGGAAATAGGGCTTCTAGTCCCAACTCCCCACAGGGCTGGCCCTGGGACCTCCACCTGTCTCACAGCAGCTGCAGGGCTGAGTGACTTTGCTCTGCCAGCTGCGATTTATTCTGGACACCTTATGCCTGGAAGTCTCATGAATTCTTGGGGGGACTTGTCAGGGCTGAGGCGGAGCCGGCAGTTCCAGGCAGATTGGGACTGCTACTGCTTCTCCTCTTCCATCGAGGGTCCCATCCAGGGGCATGAAAGCACACTGGAAAGTCCCAGAAAAGGAGACAGGCTGTCTGGGCTCTGCTGCCTCCAGTTGTGTGGTCCCGAGGGAGCACCTTCCACCTCTGAGAGTCCGTTTGCTTACCTGGCTAGTGGGGGGGAATATATTCCACTTTGCTGAGTTGTTGGGAGGATTTCTTTTCTTTCTTTCTTTTTTTTTTTTTTTTTAAGATTTTATTTATTTATTTGACAGAGAGAGAGACAGCGAGAGAGGGAACACAAGCAGGGGGAGTGGGAGAGGGAGAAGGAGGCTTCCCGCTGAGCGGTGAGCCCGATGAGGGGCTGGATGCAGGGCTGGATGCAGGGCTGGATGCAGGGCTGGATGCAGGGCTGGATGCAGGGCTCGATCCCAGGACCCTGGGATCATGACCTGAGCCAAAGGCAGACGCTTACCGACTAAGCCACCCAGGCACCCCTGTTGGGAGGATTTCTGAGGAGTCATTTGGCTACCTGTACTTCTCTGACCTCACCTCCTGACACTTTCCTCTTTGCTCATTCTGCCCCAGCCAGATATTTGTTCCTTCCCCGCCTGGCCTTTGCCTCTGCAATTCCCACCACCTGGGTTTTATGGGGCTTGCTTCCTCCTCACCCACCACTCAGGCTCAGTTTGCATGATCAGGAGACACAGGAGACAGCAGCCTCTTATGTTGCTCTCACAGCCCTCATAAACCTGTCTCATGTATTAATTTCACTAATAATTGTGTCTCCCCTAGTAGAATGCAAGGTCTAAGGATTTGTCCGCTTCTTTACTTTTACAACCCGGGCCTTGCACACAAGAAGTGTGAAATTGGTTGAACCAGGAAACAGAAGCTCAGAGATAGAGCCACTTTGTCTCATTGTCACACAGCAGAAGTGGAAATTAGAACCATGGGCTCTGATCTGGTGGAGCCTAGGGCGCAAAATTTGAAGAACGGGGTGCCAAAAAACTCACTGATCAAGATAATATTTTGAAAAATCAAAATTAAAGCAAAAAAATTCAATGATTAAAATATGTTTTTAAACAAGTAAAAGACAAGATCCGATCCTGCACTTGCATGACTCACCTCACCTTAATCCCAGTCCCGGCGGATCTTATCTTTATTTAAAATTTCGGTATTTTGCTCTTCATGGATTTTTTTTCCCATTAATTTTGATACTTAAAAAATATCGGAAAAAATATTGGATTAGAATGTCATTTATCTTGATGATTGAGTTTTTGCGCCCGAGGCACGCTCACCCTAATCTTAACCCGCTTCTGTCTCTTCTCCCCTGCGGAAACTGAAGCGAGGAGGACGGTGTTGAGGAGCGGAATGGCGGGGAGGGCGGTGCAGAGCAGCCCGATCTCCCCTGGGAGGGGCTGGGTGCCGACCTTTGCTTATCGCCCGCGATAGAAGCCTCTAATTAAATCCTCCGCCTGCGGGAGACCTTTCCCAGAGCCCTCGGCACCGCCTGCGGGGCCGAGATAGCCGCGGCTGTCCCGGCAGCAGTGACCTTTCCCGGCTCGAGACGGCGGGGAGGCGGGAGCAGGCGCGGAGGCCCGGTCTAGGCAAAGGGGGCCGCGCGCTCGGGGGATGCGACCTGGGATCGAACCCCACCTTGGCTCCCCACGACCATCCCACCACCAGGGGGCAACGAGGGTAGGCGAAGAGCGCCCAGTGACGTCATCGAACCCCTAACCCGGCCCCGCCGCTGACGTCACAGAAGAGCAGAGCACGTCACCGCATTCCTCCCGTGACGTAAGCGCGCGAAGCTAGGAACCGACCCACCGGGGAAGGGAGAAGTCTGAAAGAAGAGCGCTTTCCTTTCTCGCCTTTTATAGTTGGTAAGGCGTTTAAGGTACGCAGAGCGGACTACCATTCCCAGTTGGCCTTGCGTGTTGCGCATGCGCACGGCTCCCAGCTAGAGAGCGCGGCAAACCTTTGGAATAGATTGACGTCCCTTTAGCTGAACCGTAAAGCAGATTTTACAGCAGCAAACCCAATCCCAACCTCACAGACCCCACCCCTTTATTTAAAATTTCGGTATTTTGCTCTTCATGGATTTTGAGTGACGGGTTCTCCTGCCTTTGAGGGTTCAGTTTCCTTTGATGGACATGCACACCGATGAATCAGAGCGTCGAGAAGTCGAGAGGGTGTTGAAAAGCGTGACTTGGGACCAATAGCTTAGGAGCAGGACCTAGCGCCGTCCAATCACTTCTCTTGGCGCCGCCAATCACCCAGGACTCCGCCCCCGCTCGTGACGTATGTAGGGTGGGTAGCAACAGTTGCCCCGGTGAGGGAAACGGAGGCGCCATAGCCACGGTAGTCGTGGCGACCAAGCAACCCGGCAACGCGAGTCAACAACAACAACCGCCCGGCCGACCCCCACCCCCACCCCCCCCTGCCCGGCCCGGGGACCCCGGCACGTTCCGTCCCCCTCCCAACATCGCCTCCGAGACCTCTGGAAAGCCCTTCTGCGGACAGAAGTAGGAAGAAGCCGAGGTAACCGGGGCGGCCCCGGGGTGGCGGGCCGGGCCAGGGAGGGCGGCGGGGCCGGGGCTGCGGGTGTCGCTGTAATCATAGTCCGGAGGGAAGGGGCGGGCGGTCAAAATGGCGGCGGCGACTGTCGGGGCCGTGGGGGAGGGGGCCGGGGCCCGGCTGGGGCGACACCACCCGCCCCTGGGGTCCGGGGCCCAGCCCCCGCGAGGGGCGGGCGCTAGCAGGCCGGCGGCGAGTGGAGGTCGGCCGGACGGGGCGGGGGGCTTTTATATGTTGGGAGGTACGGAGAGGCGGGCCTGGGGAGGCTGGGCCAATGGGAGCGAGGGAGGGGCGAGGCGGGGCCGAGGTGAGTGGGCGGGGCCAGGTCGTAAGGTGTGGGCGGGGCCGGCGGGCGGCGGGGGGTGCCGGGGAGGAACCGGGTGGGGCAGCTGCCGCCTGGGCCTTGCCGCATCCCAAAGGGATGGGAGGCCACCTGTGACGCGTCGCTTTCGAAGCCCCCGCTCCCAGTCATTCCCAGTACACACTGTCTGCCACATCTCAGGCCTCAGTTTTCCATCCTATAAAGTGGGGGAGAATCACTGCTGTCGTCCCTTTTCTGCATTTCAGGGACTCCTAACTCCTTTCAGGAATTTCTCTAGGGCTCATCTTCGAACTTTCTCTAGGGCTCATCTTTGAACTACCCCATGTGCTGTTTTTGAATGCGGTTTGATAAAACAGTTAACTAATCTTGATTTCAGCACTGCTGTCTGCTCCTAAATCTGCCTTCTTCTCTCTGAGAGAAGGCAAAGGGAGTCAAAGTTTCATGGAGAAGCTGTGGGCTGGGAGTATGGCTTTAGCCGGGAGGATTTGGTGTGCAGAAATCAGAGCCCATGGCAGGGAGGGGTGATCTCGGGTGACTCGAGACAGAACAGAAACTTGATTGCTTTTCTGTGGGCTGCTCTCTTAGATCTGGTGTTGTCCCTGGGCAGAGGACTTGTTTCTGGAGCTGGGATGATTTCTAACCATTCTACCCATCACAGTCTCCCTTTCTGGGAACGGGAAGCAAATGGCGCCCGAGGAAGTTTCTTAGATTTCTTAAGCTGCTTCTCTTGGCCAGACACATGTTTTTGTGTCAGTCAAGTTGGTGTCAACTGGGTCACATGTCACTGAGGAGGTACCAGCCTCCAGAGCCACGTGGGCAGGAGCGGGACATCAAGATCAGAGGGAAAGGGAAGTGTTCCATGTTTGTTACAGGAGAATCTGAGTGTCTGTGCTTTGCGGGGCAACAAGATCTGCCAGCTTGGGAAAGAATTTATTTTTTTCAAACAGCCAGCTGGGCCAAGTCCACTTTGTTTATTCTCTGTCTTGCTTTGGAGCTTGGCATCAGCAGAGCAGAGTGGTGGTGTGCAAATTGCAGCCGTTTTCTTTTCAAATCAATAAACTTCAAGGAGAAGGATTGTTTCAGGCTCTCCTAAAGCTTTCAAGAATTTGAGATAAGGTTGGGGGGGTGGGTCTCACTTCTTCAGGGACTTTTTCTAGACCTGGTCCTCTTTGAGAGGTGGCAGGACCCCTTTGAAAGTTAGGGAGGACAGAGATTAGTTTTCAGTACAAATCTGGAAATACCAAGTCTGCCTGAAAGATCATTACCACCTGTTGGAAAGGCAAACTTTGAGCGGAAGGTGATGTTACTGATCATCTAGTCTTGTTAACTGTCTCTCCCCCACCATAACTTTTATATTTGAAGGGCCCAAGCCCAGAGGGCTCTTTTGACGAGGGTAGAGAGCGCTGGTTTGGTTTGCTTTTGGAAACAATCACCTGTTTTCTAGCTGTGCCTGTGGATGTGTTAGTTTACTACTCTGGACCTCAGTTTCCCCTAAGCTAGGGGCAGTGATCATTGGTAATAATTTTAAGCTCATATTGCTGTGTTATGGATCCTGTAAAAGAATACATGTTGGGGGTGCCTGGGTGGCTCAGTTGGTTGAGCGACTGCCTTCGGCTCAGGTTATGATCCCTCTCATGTGTTCTCTCTCATTCTCTCTCTCAAATAAATAAATAAAATCTTTAAAAAAAAAAAAAAAAGAATACATGTTGAGCATCAGATACCTAGTAATTGCTCAAACTCTGTTAGCTGCCATTGTTATTCTCATGATTGGCCCTTCCTGCTCAGCCCTCTGAATTACACCACTTGCATTTATTTTTATCATTTTGAATTGGGCGAGAGCCTAGTGGCTTTAAAGGTTGACTCACTTGCTGGGCTGTGTGGGCTGATGACAGAGATGACAGAGATCCCAGGAAGCTGGATACCAGGACTCCAATTTCTAGTGAGAAAATGCCATTCCCCTTGCTCCTGAATAGCCTTTCTGCCGCTTTAGGAGAGTAGCCAAAAAGAAAAATTCTCCTGGGCCTGAGCCCAGACTCAGCTCCAAGGCTTCCAGGAGGCAGCTGGGTGAGCCAGGGGTGTGGGTGTCGTGGGAATGGTGTCTCTGGAGCTGAAGTCCTTGCCTTTCCCTCCCCATACACATCTCAATAGCTCGGGGATGGGCCAGGCGGACTCCCCCAGGGACGCAGCCTGCAGATAGCAACTGCACAGTGCCTAGTACTCTTCTTGGGCTGGGAAGCCCATTCTGGACCAGGGGGCATCGCCCGCCCCTGCTGCCATAAGCCTGCTGCTGGCAGAGGCAGGAAGCAGGAACTTGTTCACAATTGGTAGACTCAAACTGGCCTTTGACGCTCACGAGTAGTGTGCTCCTGGCGTGTGGACACGTATTTGACAGTAAAAGTTGAGCCTGTACTATGTACCTGTCTAGGGAGCTGGAGGTAAGGTGATGGGCAAGGCAGGCCGTACTGTGTGCCCATTCTCAGAGCTGGAGATGCAGAGATGGGCAAGGCAGGCTGGGTCTCTGCTCCTGGGGAGCTTGCATTTCTGGTCATGGAGGGAAAGGGAACTATGAATAAGAAAATAAACAGACAAGGAAATACAGGGCCAGGAAGAAAACAAAACAGGAGTATGTGCTTCAGAGTGCTTGGGGTTGGGGGAGGAGAGCACACTCGAGACCCAAGAAGGTGACATATAAGCTGAGATCTGAATGATAAGAAGCAGCCAGCAGTGGAGAATGGGGGTAGAGGTGAGGAGAACATGTCAGTCAGGTGGAAGAGTCTGGTGAAAAGGTCCTGAGGCAGGAGGAGGTCTGGAGCATTCTAGGAGCAAGAGCCAGTTTGACTAGAACATTCAAAGTGAGATAGGAAGGACCTCAAGGCCCCATAACGCTTGGGAAGGGCTCTGGATTTTATTTCATCTCTGTGATAAGAGCCATGGAGCCTTCTGAATAGAGGGGTGACAAGACAGGATTTGTGCTTTCAAAGGATCTTACTTTTTTTTTTTAAAGATTTTATTTATTTGAGAGAGAGAGAGAGAGAGCAGGAGCACAAGCGGGGGGAGGGGGGAGGGATAGAGGGAGAAACAGACTCCCTGCTGAGCAGGGAGCCCAGCATGGGGCTCGATCCCAGGACCCTGGGTTCATGACCCGAACCAAAAGCAGATGCTCAACCGACTGAGCCACCTAGGCACTCTCAAAGGATCTTAAGGACTATCGAGGCAAGAGTGGAGCTAGGAGCCAGTAATGAGGGTGTTGCAGGGGTCCAGGCAAGAGATGAAGACATCTCAGAGTAGAAGGGTGTTGATAAATGTGGAGAGAAGTGTAATACCTCCTTAGGATCTATTTTGAAGGAATCATTGAGAAGTCTTAAAAACTAACTGTATATAGAAGATGAAGGAAACCCACATCCTTATATTTATTTTCCCTGTTCCCAGCAAGTTCCTCATCAAAGCCATTCTACAGATGAGGAAAGGGAGTTTTCTTTCCATTTTCTTTTTTTTTTTTTAAAGATTTTATTTATTCATTTGAGACACAGAGATACAGAGAGAGAGAGAGAGCATGAGCAGTGGGAGAGGCAGAGGGAGAGGAAGAAGCAGACTCCCTGTTGAGTCAGGAGCCCAATGTGGGACTCGATCCCAGGACCCTGGGATCATGACCTGAGCCAAAGGCAGATGCTTAACCATCTGAGCCACCCAGGCGCCCCTTCTTTCCATTTTCTTAGGAGGGCCTTTCCAAGATGTAAACCATTTGGTTATAGAATCTGGAATCCAAACCAGAAGTCAGCAAACTATGGCTATCACCTGGTTTTGCATGGCCTGTGAATTTGCATGATTTTTTATGCTTTTAAATGATTGGGGAAGAAATTACAAGAAGAAAATTTTGTGGCCCGAATAAAATGTCAGGACATGTGATACTATATGAAATTCAAATCTCGGTGTCTATAAATAAAGTTTTATTAGCACATAGCCATGCTCGTTTGTTTAAATATTATCTATGGCTGCTGTCACAGTGCAGTGGCAGAGTTGAGTAGTTGCAACAGAGGGTGTCTGCCCTCAAAGCCAAAAATGTTGGCTGTGGCCCTTTACAGAAGTTTGCTGGCCCCTGACCTGAGGTAATTGATTCAAACATTCTCCAAAAACAGCTGTTGGCTTTGAAGTTAGGTGCAGCCATTGGTGCTTTTCTTGGCAGTTTCATTGCCAAGGAACAGATTTGCTGAGCGATTCCCTTGTTTCATGTGCCCTGCTCTGTAAAGGAAGGGATCTCATGCTGTTTATATTTGTGACTTATTTCTCTCTAGAGAGCACCCTGCAGAGCTCTGCTTGTCCTAGTCATCCACAAATGGAAAGAAAAGGGCTCCCTGGTCGACGAATAATTGTGGGACACTTGGTATCCTGTATTGCCCTTCCTAGAGATTGACAATGACGGTGCTGAGAAGGCCTCCAATAGAGAAGTGGGTTTAACTGTTTCATTAATCTTCCCTTCACCTTTTCAAGCTTGGCCTTTCAGCCTTCGCTGTCACCTCCTTCCCCTGCCCCTGAGTGGAAGGAATGGGGCCTGTGGGCTTTGCACCTCAAGGAGGAGAAAGCACCCTGCAAGTGTGGAGCTTTTAAAGCCCTTTCCTGGGGCGCCTGCATGGCTCCGTTGTTAAGTGCCTGCCTTTGGCTCGGGTCATGATCCCAGTGTCCTGGGATCGAGCCCCGCGTCGGGCCCTCTGCTCTGTGGGAAGCCTGCTTCTCCCTCTCCCCCTGTCTGTGTTCCCTTTCTCACTGTGTCTCTCTCTGTCAAATAAATAAATAAAATCCTTAAAAAAAAAAGCCCTTTCCTTGCGGGAGGTACCATAGGAGCAAGCTCTGCTAGGGCCCAGAAAGCCCAGGCCAGGGTTTCTCAGAGAGTTCTTCCAGGGCCAACGGGCTCAGAATCATCCCAAAGGAGAGTTAGCTCAAACAGCAGACTCTGGGACCATCCCAGACTCCCTGGGCACTGGTGCCCAGGAACCTGCATTTAACTAGCTCCCCAGATGATACTGATGAACACCAGGGTTGGATTCCCCCTGGGCACCTCCTTCTAAGAGCCTGAGGAATGTGTGTGTCTCTCCTGTCCCCACCCTTCTCCATCTCCACTTGGCACCGGTATTTGTTCAGTGACAAGATAATAGAGGCTTCCACATCCCAGTGCTTACTGGGTGCTGGGCTTGTCTTGTCAGATCGTTACGGCAGCCCTATGAATTGGTGTCCTCATCATCCCCAGTACAGGTGGGGAAACTGAGGCCCAGAGGAAGGTCAGTAATGTGTCTGCGAATGAAGAGACAGGTCAGGGTTTATGTTGAGGTGGGTCTGACACCAGGCAGACGGACAGCAGTCAGCTGCGGTGACCCCAGCCCCTACACTGGGCCAGAGTTTGGACCCAGTGGTGTGAGGAGCCCCCAGGAGGCAGCCCCTCTGATGCTGGCAGGAGGGAGTTTGGGAGGGCACGGGCTGGGGGAGAGCGACTTTTTCTTGTGTGTGGCAGGTGTTTAATCTCTGTGGGTAGGGCCCAGGTCTCCTGGTCTGAAAAACAGGGAAGATGCTACCTACTGAGTATGAGAAATAAACAAGCCCCGTGCCTGGCTCCCTGAGTAGGGCTCGGGGCTAAGAGCATACATCTGGAGGTCAGAGAGACCTGGGTTCAAGTCCTCTTCTTACCAGTTGCTGGGCACCCTTCACATGGTTTTGCTCATCTGTAAGCTGGCCGTGGTGGTTCCTCCCGCACGGGGCTGCTGTGCAGAGGTGAGCACAGCAGACGCTCCTGGGGCTTCTGGTCAACCAGCAGCAGTTGCTTCTCCCACCCCCTTCCGCTTGCAAATCCCACTCTCGGTCACCAGTGGCTGGAGGGCCGCCTGCTGGCGCGCGACGGCGCACAGGTGCCCCAGGGTTAGTGCAGAAGAGCCTCTGGTTCAGTGGCCTGGAGTGCCCGTGAGCGTCACAGGCGACCGACCGCAGGCAGGTCCAACTCAAATACTTCCCTGGGCCAGGCAGGGGCCATGGAGGTATGGGGGCTGGAGCTCCGCCTCTTCACCACTCTAGTGTTTCTTCCGCCGTCCTCAGACGCTCGGGAGTTGGGGATGGCACCCATTAGTGTGGGCAGCGGGGAAACCATTTGCTCATCTTCTGATGAGGCGGGGCCGGGTGAGAGGGAGGGTGGCGCTTAGCACGGGGAAGGGGGCCGTGAGCTAGAAGGGACAGAGCTCAGCAAGAGGGACGGGGTGCCTAGCCCAGTACCTGGGAGAGGGAGCACGACCCTTGAGCAGCCAGAAAAGCTGCCTCTGCCTGGTTGGACCGGCCCCATTCTGTGGCCAGGGCCCGCTCTCAGCCCAGGGCCCCTGGACTGAGACCGGCACTCTTCCTGTGATGAGCCCCCATCTGGTGTCGTAACCCAGTATGGTCCGTTCAGGCCTGAAAGCCCCTGAGGCCACAGGCTGCTCTAAGGGCTTTTTGGACTCAAACACCTTCCCCTTTCTGGCACCCCACTGGGAATGATCCTCAGCCAAGAATCCCAGCCAAGATAGCAGGCATGTAAGGAACTGGGACAGGCTGGCCTGGAGACCGCTTTCCCCAGACTTTACCTTCCAGCAGTTAGCCAACTACTCAAGTGCTCAGAATGCCCAGGATTCAGCCTCAGCCTGCTGTGTGGCCTGGGGCAAGCTCCTCAACCTCTCTGAGCCTCAGCTCCTCATCTGGCAGAGCAAACTCAAACCCAGACACGGTTGTTGCAAAGTTTAAAATGAAATAATGTAGAGAAAGCACTCAGCACAGTGCCCGGTCTGCAGGAGCCCTCAGGAGAAATGCACCATTTGACCCCACCCTCCCCGGCCCCCCCCTTGACGCAGGGGTCCCCCAGGCACCAGGGGCTGGGAAGGAAGAAGGCAGAAGTCCTGAACAGGGGTGAATGGAAGAGGCGTAGACCAGCCTCAGTCCATAACCAGTTCCCCTGCAGTGATGGGTTCATTGTATCTGGCCACCAGCCTCAGGATTTAATTAAGTTAGTGAGGAACCTAAACGTGTCTCTAGGGAGCCAGGAACTGTCCCTGGTTTCCTCTGCTTGTGGATTAATTCTTGTTTTTCCTTCTTTTGTTTTTTTTCTGTTTCCCTCCTCCTCTTCTTCTTCCCAAGGAAGAAAAAAAAAAGCCTTATTTATTATCATTTTCCCCACTGTTGGCATGGCAACACCAGCGTACGTTACTGAGCTACAGGCAGCCCCGCAACCATCCCAGCCACCACAGGCCCCGCCCCAGCCACCGCCGCCGCCCCCAGCGGCGCCCCAGCCCCCCCAGCCGCCTGCCACCGCTGCTACCCCCCAGCCCCAATATGTCACTGAGTTGCAGAGCCCCCAGCCCCAGGCACAGCCCCCAGGCAGCCAGAAGCAGTACGTGACGGAGCTCCCGGCCACCCCCACGCCCCCGCAGCCGGCCGGCGCACCCACCCCGTCCCCGGCGTCCCAGCAGTACATCGTGGTCACTGTCTCCGGTAAGTGGACATGCGCTCGCAGCCAGGGTGCTCCGCGAACAACTCGGAGAGGAGTTTGGGGAGCCCGGCATCCTGGATGTGCGCGGGGGGCACAGTGACTGAAACTCTGTCTGTGCCTGTCACCACAGCAGCTTTCAAACTTGCTGGGGTTCCCCGGTGGGACTTGGGGGGTGTTTCTGGGGAAGGAGTCGTCAAGCCAAGCAATGAGGCTTCTGTCCACCTAAACTCCTTCCCACCAGGGCAGCTCATAGGGCTGTTTCTGTCTCTGTCCCCAAGTCAACTGCCATTTGAGGAAAGGACTGGGTGGTGGACTTAAAGTTCGCAAACATCTCTTGGAGCTGGAGGGTGAGCACCTGGCCGCTGCCCTCCTGGCCTGGCCTTGTTTCTCACCGGTTCAGCCTGTTTCCTCATCCACAGAGGGCTGGTAACAGCTTCGTGAGCTCAGGGGATACATGTGAGGTGTTCACGGAGGCATTTCAGGGAGGTCAGCTGGGAGGCCTCCCCGGAGGTGTAACCTTTTTGGTTCTGGCAGGACCCAGGGGCTGAGGGAGGCCGTTGGTTGGGCAGTTTCGTGATCATGTGGCCAAGGACCTCTGTTTCTCACTGTGGTCTGCCCTTATGGCCGTGGAGAAAGTGACCAGGGGGCTCAGGTCGTGGCACCTGTGATTCTTGCCTAGACCATCTTCCCCATGCCCCAGTTCCCTCCAGGATGGAGACGGGCCGAGCAGAAGGAACTGGGAGCAGAGGGTCAGGGCAGGTAGTCATTCCCCTGAGAAGGCGGAGCTCAGACCAGGACTGGGCATCATTTGTGGTTTCCAGTGTGCTCAGTGGAGGAGGGAGGATGTGGTGAACCCCTCCCTCCCCCTGCCCAATCCTTCCAGAGTGGAAAATAAGGAAGGGATGGGAATCATAAAGGCATCTTGGGAGGCTGTGAAAGGGGCAGGTCAAGACTGGGTTTAGGAAGATAGGACTAGAGTGACACATGGCAACTGACATGGCCCCAAGGGACCAGAACAGGTATAGGCGGGGCCCTGAGCAGCATCCTTTAGGCTCCTGGCAGTGTGGAGGTCCCCAGAGAGGGCTCAGGGTGGTGACGCTTTACCACAGGGACTCGTCTGGAGGGATGTCACGTGAGAGCCACACTGAGAACCCCAGCCATGGACGTAGCCAGGGTCTCCTGCGGGTTCCCAGCACTGCCCAGTTATCCTGCTAGGTTTTCTCACCAGCATGCCCCCCCTCCCCGCCGCCGCAAGAAACCCACCCCCACCTCCATCGTCTTGTCTCATTCTGCACTCCTTACCCCTGACCTCACTGCCTACCTCACTGGGGACAGGTGCCACCACATATCAAGAAGGATCCCACCTCCCCCGAGCCAGCCTCACAGCTCCCAGGGTTGTCTGCAGCCACTGGCGCTGCGAATCCCAGGCCATCCCCTCCAGGGCCTCGTCGCTTGGTCCCTCTCTTTACAAATCTTTCCCACCAGCCTGCAGAGATGAAACAGTTCCTGATTTAATCAGAAATCTCAGTTCCCGTACCCCTTCAGCTGCTGCCCCCGTTTTCACTTCCTTTTAAGTCAGAATTCCTTGAAGGATTCACCCTCCCTTCCTTAACTGGTGCTCTCCCCTCTGTTGCCTCTGCCTTCCCCCCACCCAGCGCCCCAGTCGGAGTCACCCACAGCCCCCATCTTGTCCGCCTGCTGGTCACTCTTGGTACTCCTCTTCCTCCAGCCCTGGGAAGTGCCTGACACACTGGTCCCCTTCCTCCCAGAACCGCCCCCTGCCCCAGTCTCTACCCACTTCCCTGCCTCCCTTCTCCGCCCCCTTTGCTGCTTCCTCCTCATTTCCCTTCATGGTGGCCTGTTCCACTGTCTCAGCTTTCCCTGCCCCCTTGGTGCTAACAACATGCCCGCATTGTGGCCTGTGCCCTGGGCTATCGCCCTGAACCCCAGCCACCTTTGACCCATCTGCTCAGGATTGAATGGGCCTCTCAAGCCAGCATGGCCAAATGGAACCCTGGATTTTCCCCTCATCCGGTCCACCCTCTTTTGAGACTTCTTCATCCTAATAAATACCACCCCCAGTCCTGGGTCAGCATGGATTCCTGTCCTACCCATTCTTGAGCAAGACCTCTTGGCTCCATCTCCTACATGCTGCCAGAACCCACCGCCTCTCCCACCTCCACGGCCCCTACCCTGGTCCAGCCTCTGCCCTCGCCGGTCACAGTCCACCCCCGCAGCGACCAAGAGGGAGCCCATCACAACCCAGTTCAACCCAGAAGATTCTGAGGCAGGTGGCCCTGGGGACACGCTCTGAGAAGCCCTGACCTTGGCTTTCTCATCTGAGGAGAGCTGGCCCCCTGTGGCCCCTCCCACAAGGGAAGGGCTTTAAAAACTCCACACTTCCTGTATCCCCCCTGCTGACAATTTCCTGGCCTCCCAACTCTGGTCTGGGAGGCCCGCCAGCCTCCCAGCGCCCCCCGCCCCCCCGCCCCCTCCCACACCTGCTCCAGCCCTACTGGCCTTCCCGCAGCTCCAAAACCCACAAGGCTCAGTCTGGCCCGCAGGTCTTTGCACTCGCGGTGCCCTCTGCCTGGAGCACTCCCGTCCCAGACCTCCTGGTGGCTCGTCCCTTGTGTTCTGGTGTCGGTTCAATGCCACCTCCCTGATGCCCACACCTCCCCACCTCCACTGCTCACTCCCTGTGTCCTCACTTTGCTTTGTTTTTCTTCTTAACACTCATTATCACCTGAAGTGATGACGAGCGCAGTGATGTCCATCCCCTTGTCCCTGAGGGCAGGGCTCTGTATACTGAGTCTCTGTGGCATGAACGCCCACGCGAAGGCTGGCCTGACCCATCACAGCCCTCCCAGTCTGTCGGCCCTGGGCAGCTAGGAGCAGGTGGGAGGCCTTGCCTGCACTGGCTAGAGGACTTTGGCCAGCCTACAGGGCATCCGATTGGCCCTCGACCTCCCGGGCGCTGGCTTTGGCTGCTTTGGGGGGGCCGGGGTCCTCAGGGCAAGGGTCTGGAAAAGGCACATGGCTCCAGGCCCCAGAGCACCCCAACTCCTGGCACATTCCTCGCTCCCCCTCAGCCTCTCCAGCTCTTCCTGGTGCATGCCCAGGCAGTCCCTGGTGCTTACAGGCCAAGGCCTTTGTCCCCCGCCGCCCCCGCCCCGATCCCCCATTGCACTGTGGGGCTGCTCTGTGGGGGTGGGCTGCAGTGAATGGCCTGCTGGTGTGACTCTCGGATTCCTTCTTTGGTCTTGTGGCACCTTGATGGTCTTTCACAGGGGTCCTGGGGACTTTTCCCTGCTGCTCCCTGTTCTGGTGGCAGTGAGGCTGTCCCCCGGAGGGTGACTGGGTGATGCTTCCTCAATCTGTTCTGAGGAAGAGGGGGTTGGCTGCACCGGTCTCTCTACTTGCTGCCCCATTGACCCCTCCCCCATCCCCTTGCAGTGATTTCCCAGCGCTTCTCCATGACCCTCTCCTGGGTTAGTGTCCCTTTCCATCTAAGGGTGGCCTTTGGGCCACTTGAGCCCGTCCCAGGCGTGGCGGGGGTCGGGGAGGTACCTGAGACCAGTAAAGGCTGCGGCAAGGCGCCTGGGGCTCCTCCAGAGCAGAGCAATCTGAGCTGACCAGGGACCCAGGGAGACGCAGGGAGGAGATGGGCGGGGGGTGGTGGTGGGGGGAGGGGCTGGACCCAACCTGGAGCCCAGGCTAGAAACCGGCTGAGAACGACACCACAGGCAGCTCGTCCAGCCCAATCCCTGTGGTCTCTGCCCTGAGGTGTCTGTGGAGGTGATGGGAAGGCAGCTCAAGTTTCCCTGCTCAGCAACAGCCCTCTAGATCGGAAGTCCCTGTCCTCACAGTCTGCCAGCCTCTCGCCCGACACTCGAGGTGTAAGGAGGGCACTGTGGGTCCTGGCAGCCACCCCCAGGAAGGTGAAACCAAGCCTGCCCGCAGCTGACAGGGCTGGGCTCAAGGAGCGTCTGGGGCCAGCCTTCCTTCCCTGCTTCTCTCACACTTGGAGTCTTTGCGAGTCCAGCACGGCTTGTGTCCGTGAGAGAGATGGGGGCGGGGGGTGTTTGTCAGCATCTTCAAGCACAGATGGGGAAACCAAGGTTAGGACAGACAAGGGACCCAGGACGCACAGGCCCCCCTCAGGAGCCCCGGACTGAAGTCACCTCCAGGAACAAAGGATCAGGAGGGAGGGAGCCAGACTGCCCCGCCCATCATCCGTGAGGAGTAGGGTCCCAGCTCGTAATCAGGCCTCTCGGGCTTCTCTCAGTCTTCCCCCTCATGGCTCACAGCATTGGAGATGTGAGCGGGTCTCAGTGGGGAAGTGCAGGGCCCAGGGAGGAAGAGATGCTCATCAGATTGAGGGACAGGAAATCAGCTGCCACTTCCTGACTACAGACTTGAGACTGGGGCCCTCCCTGGTCTCATGCACATGCCCAGCATGGAGAAGGCAGACAGACAGATGCAGAGGCTCGCAGACTTCATACCCCAACCCCCAACACACACACACACACACACACAGAGCAAGGGCAAGACACGGGTAGACAGGGACACACACACAGGAAGCCTCTCATCCAGACGGTAGACTCTGGAATCTCACCTGCTTATCCTCATGGTACAACCCGGCATGCCTGGCAGATGTGGGGATCCGAGCCTTGAGGGCCATCCCAGACTGTTTCCTGGGGCTTCCCCATCCCAGGCAGATCCCTGATCTCAGCAGGTCCCCAGGCCTCCCAAATACTAAGGGTCCCACTGACGGAAGGATCAGCCTTGGTGTTTTCATCTGAGCCTCTGGGCCTAGGAGGTAGCTGGGGCCAGCCCCCCACTCACTGCCCACCCTGAACTAGGCAAAACCTGCCCGAGGCTGCCGCAATTGGGTGCCATTCCTTGGGCTGGGCCTGGCTCCCTGTGTCCCACAGACACCCAGGTGTGCTGGGGCCCCTCATGTGACTTAGGGCTTTCTCAGGTTTCTCCCCAGGGGCCCATCTCAGTGAGGGCTACCTCCCTCACTGCTCACAGAAGCCTAAGTGGGTGCAAGGGAAGATTCTAGCCAAACGTAGGAAATGGTGTCTCCTGGAATTGGCTGCGGAGGCAGCTGGCCAAGTAGGCCTGAGGTGGTTCCAGTGCCTGTCCCACATGTGGCCAATGGGAGGCTTCCCCCAACACCACCTCCCGCATCTGGCCACCACTCCCCCTACACCCAGTACATAACACATTCATGAGCTCTGACCCGGACTTGGTCCCTGAGATTCTTGCATCTACCTGGGACTGCCCTTCTGCCCTGGCCAGGCCCCTCTCCCTGTGTCCCCACATAGCTGAGGCCCAGCTCCTCACTTTGGAGGGTGAGGATGCTCTGGTCCTTACAGCGTTCCCATAGATCCTCACCTTACTGTTCACCACTGCCCTTGGGGTGTCAGCCCAAGCATGACCTGAAGCTCTAGATTCCATGCGCAATGTGAGGTTTATGTGCACAGATAATGGGCCAGCATCCTGGCTTGTCAGTTCCCAGCTGGGCAGATCACTTCCTCTCTCCCAGTCTCTTGCCTTATCCGATAACGGGGGTAATAAAAGTTCCTTCTGTCTTCAGCTACCCAGGAAGACCCTAGCACAGCAGCTGGGGCCCTGGAAGCACTCTAGTCACTCCTATTACTCCTTGCCCACCACCCTACTGTCCTGCCAGGGGACCCCCCAGGAGGTGGCACTGGGACCTTGGCTCCTGGTAGCACATTGGAGGAAGGGCAGGCACATATGCTCCCCACAGCCCCAGCCTGGCCTCTGGAACTGCTGGGAGCAAGCCAGGACACACGGAAGGGGCAGGATGAATGGTGTCCTGGCTGGGGTGGGGGGCCTCCCATCCAGCATCTCTCAGGGACACTTGCCCTCTGTGCCTCTCCCCTTCTCAGCTCCCTTGTTAATCACTCAGTGAGATGTGCATGAAACTTGACCTGTGCCCGCCCAATAGCATCTCCGGGTACCAGCCTCCCTCCTGACTTCATAGCAAGGCCCCAGCCCAGAGAAGGCCCTGCTTCGGCCGTGCCTGTTCAGAGGAGAGTGTTTATTCCAAGAGGGCAGCCGGGGAGCTCTGCATCCACCGGGGGGATTAGCTCCCCAAGGTTGCGGGTATAAAGCCGCCCACGCACCCTGCTGTTCCCAAAGAGGTGGGCAAGGAGTGAGGAGTGTGGGGCAGGTTCCCCTAGATAGACGGGGGCAGGAGGGGGGTAGGGGCACCATGTTCTACGATTGCCTCTTCTCGGCTGCCTGTCAGCGTGAGTACCTGCCTGCCCCCCTCCCAGCCCCTTCCTGCCCCCGTCCCACTGAGGACAGGGAAGCTGGGACAGTGGAGAGGGAGGGGGTGCTTGGCCACAGGCTGGCAAGGCCTTCTAGGGTCACTCTTCTGACCACCTTCTATTCCTGGGAAGCCAGGAGTCATCTTGAGGAAGGTGGCCCCAGCATCATGGTCCTTCTAGGGCTGCTGAGACCCCAGGGTAGGAGGCCAGTTCCACAAATCCTATCTGTTGGGAAAAGGGATCCAGCCCTCCGGGCCTCTGCTGCATCTGCTCCTCAGTCACCCCTTCTGGTCTGGCTTTGGGACGAGGAGTGGTGGGGTGGGGTGGGGCTGCTTCTGCATGTCAAGGATCCTAGGGCCTTATGGCTCACCCCAGTGGGCAGTGTCAGGGCCGGCCAGGAGGCAGGCAGGATTGTTGGAGAGGCCCGGCCCTGTCAGGGATCCACTTCAGGCTCCACCGTCCATTCTCATGGGCTCGGGCTCAGGTTCAGGGTGGGGGTGGGGACAGCAGGCAGAGCTGACCCAGTGACCCCTCCTCCAGAAGGCGCTATGCGGGCCAGTGAGACTGTATCGGAGGCCAGCCCAGGCTCCACAGCCAGCCAGACCGGAGTCCCCACTCAGGTGGTTCAGCAGGTGCAGGGCACCCAGCAGGTAGGACACACTCCTCCCCGGGGGGCGGGTTGGGAGGGTACATGAGAGGGGCAGCGGTGACCGTGGCCATGGGAACTTGGCCTCCCGTCCTGCCCCGCTGCCAGAGCCGTCTGCTCCCATGTTCTTACCACGCTGTTCACTTCAGCCACCCTCCACCCACCTGGGCCAGGCCTCCGCGGGGAAGCCAGCGTGGCTCAGGTCCTTACTCCTTGCCCCTACAGCGTCTGCTGGTCCAGACGAGCGTGCAGGCCAAGCCGGGCCACGTGTCACCCCTCCAGCTCACCAACATCCCAGTGCCCCAGCAGGTAAGGCTGCCACACCCGGCCCAGCCCTCACAGCCTCCCCCAGGGGGCACAGCCAACTCCCTGTGGCCTGCTCAGATCTGCCCTCACCAGCAGCAAGGACATAGGCTCCGTCTGGGGGCCTCCGCGCCTGCTGCCTCCAGCGAGTGAGACCATGGCAGTCAGGGCCCATCGGGGAAGGACCACCTGCATGAGTTCTCTTAATAGACACAACTGAGGAGTTGCAGTAAGGAAGGTGACTTTCAGGTCCAGCCCGTGTCTCAAAGCAGAGAACCCCTGCCAGTTAGGAGCCAGGAGCCCGTAGCTAGCACAGGGACTGAGTGCGTGGCAGTGGTCTGTTCCCCAGAAGGCTGTGAGCAGGGTGGGGGGGCTCAGCACAGAACGGGGCAAAGTCCTGTCAGGCTTCAAGGGTGGGAGCCGATTCCGCGTGGCCTGTGGAGCCAGGCTCCCTGGACACAGACCCTCGCTCTGCCACTTGCTGGTTCCAGGACCTCGGGCGAGGACTCTGGCCATCCTGAGTCTCTCTGTCACCGTCTGTGAAGTGGGGTTGGTGTCAGTGCTGTACTGGGACTGTTGGGGCAGTTCCGGGAGCTAACAGGTGTGTGGCACTAGGACATCGCCTGGTACGGTGCCAGATGCTCAGGAAAGCCGGGCGGGCTGCTGTGAGTCAACTGTGGTCCTTTTCCCTCCTGGCTCTAGGCTCTCCCCACGCAGCGTCTGGTGGTGCAGAGCACAGCCCCAGGCGGCAAGGGTGGCCAGGTTTCCCTGACGGTGCATGGCCCCCAGCAGGTGCACTCGCCCCCTGAGGTAGGTCGTGGCCCCATCAGCTGCCCTCCCTGAACCTCTCTCCCCAGGTTGGCCATGTACCCCCAGAGTATACTTGGAGGGGTCCCTGCCCCCCAAGCCCACTTGCTCCTCCAGAGTCCTTGTTCAGCCCAGGTTGGGTAGCTTGGCTGCCTGATTCATGGCCCCGCTGGCTCCAGGAGGAGGAGGTAGCTTCCCCCCAGGTTGAGATGGGCCTCACAGCTCCACTTCAGGACTCTGTATCCCAGGAAGGAAAGGAGGCCCCCCAGCCCCGCTTAGGGCTGGTAGAGGCTCTTCCTCAGACTACAAGGGTGGGTTCTGGGGACCTGCCCCCCGACACCAACGAGGGTGTTGGAGGCAAGCAGGCCATGGGTGGCTGGGAGCATGGGTGGCAGCATCAGGAGCTTGGGGTCAGACCCCCAGCTCAGCCGTTCTTCCTGGGGGACTCTGGCCAGGCCCGTGGGGCCTTCTGAGCCCAGTGTTTTCTATGTGTAAAACAGCTAATGATACGAAGTGCCACAGCATGGCCCAGAGCCAACAGGGACCTGTAGCCAGTCTGGGGTCAGTGCCTGGCGCTACCACTCAGCTGTGTGGCCTTGGGACGTCCCTTCCCATCTGTGCTTTAGCAACCTCATCTGTTAAGTGGGGATTCCCTCACCTAACCCTCCTCACCTCAGGGCTGCAGTCTCTCTGATTGTGGAGGCAACGGGTGACCTCTGAGCTGAGGCCATCTTCGCTGGGGAGGATGGGTCCCCCTACCAGTACCTCTGGGCCGGATCCCCAGCTTTGCCTGGGAGCGATCGGGGCAGGGACTAGGCATTCGGGTTCATGGGATTCGGCCGGTTACCAACCTAGGAGGTTGAGACCTCTACGGCCTGCCACCCTCCCCAAACAGCTCTTGGGAGAGTCCTCCTGAAAAGGGTTTTGTCAGGGCCTGGGTGCCCAGACGACGCCCCCGTGTCTCCTTCCCTTGCAGCGGTCACCGGTGCAGGCCAACAGCTCCTCCAGCAAGACGGCTGGGGCCCCCACGGGCACAGTGCCACAGCAGCTGCAGGTCCATGGCGTTCAGCAGAGTGTCCCCGTCACCCAAGAGGTGCCAGGCCAAGGCGGGCAGTGGCTGGGGCAAGGGGTCCTGGCCAGGCAGCCTCTGCAGCGTCCTTGACTGTCTGTGGGAGCCAAGCAGATGGGGGTACAGCCTCAGCAGGCCCCCCGGGCCTTTGGCAAGCGCCTCTTCCTCACTCCAGACTCAGCATCCTTGTCTAAATAATGGCTTCTGCCCTGGGAGCCTGGGGGCAGGGTGGTCGGGGCTGCTGGGGGATGAAATCTGGTCCTCACGGGTGCTGGACAGGCGCTGAAAACTCTGAGAAACAACCTGGCCTCTTTGGGCCCAGTTGCCTGGAGGAAGCCCCAAGGCCAAGTCCTGGCTTACCCCTAAGGAGCTCAGGGGGAGGCCCAAGCTCCAAATCCATGGCCAGCCTTTGGGAGGGGCAGAGACTCTTCCTCAGACTACAGGGTGGATTCTGGGGACCCCCAGAGGCTATTGCTCTGAGCTGTCAGTGATGGCAGTTGGAGCAGGTGAAGTGGCAAGGGGTGTCTGCCATCTGGTTGTTATCACTCCAGTTGCGGGGTTCCAAACTCCTTGGAAAACCAGATGAAAGCCATAGACTCTTCCCCTAAAGGAAAGCAGAAACGTCACTCTGAAGGATTCACAGATGTTCCTGCTGCGTACCACAGACCCTCGGACCATCCAGGCCTGGGTTTGAGTTCTAATCCACCACTCAGCACCAGCCCCCCACCCCACCCCAGCATCTGTCCTTCACTGTGTGCCCTGAGGGTGATATCAGGATCTCCGCAGCACCATGGATGTGGGGGTGTGGGATAACCCATGGAGAGAGCAAGGGGGGACAGCAAGGACTCCCTCACTCAGACCCAAGTTCAACTTCAGTTCTGACACTTCCTGTTGGCCTCACTTTGATGAGCCTCTGTTCACATGGGTAACTGGGTGCCCAGAGTGAACATAGCGATGAATCTAAAAGGGCGGGCAGGGAAAAGCTGCAGAATGGTGGCTTCTTTCTCACCAGGCTACCCTGACGCTTACATGGGTTCCTGTGGGCATGGGGTGGGGGAGACTCGGGGATGGGTGGGCCACCAGGGGCACCACGGTCACCACAGTCTGACCTGCCTTTTCCCTCCTCAGAGGTCCGTGGTCCAAGCCACTCCACAGGCGCCCAAAGCTGGCCCCGTGCAGCAGCTCACAGTGCAGGGGCTCCCGCCAGTTCACGTGGCTCAAGAGGTGCGTGCCTCCTCCACCTGCCTCTGGGCAAACTGGGACTGGGCCCGGGCTGGGCTGGGGAGGGGTGCAGGCCCTTCAGGCCGCGGGGAGGGAATGGAGCTGGGGATCCTCGAGGGCCTCAGCCCCGCTCCAGGCTCCACCTGGGGCTGTGGGCTGCAGACTCGGTCTTGGAGCCTTCCCACTTTCCCCACCCCCGGGCACCTGTCAGTTCAAGGGCCCAGGTTTTGCTAAGAGAGGGATCTGGATTCTCCCCTCCCAGAGACACCGGGTGGGAGACCTGTCGGGTTGCTGGTGAGCTCAGCGACCCGGTGGGCTGGGCGGCGGAGGCCTGGCGCCCCGCCCGCGGCCGCCCCCGGTGACCCCCCAGTGTCTCTGTTTGTCCTCCAGAGCTCAGGCAGTCAGTTTCCCGCTAGGAAGGCAGAGCAGCAGGAGCCCCGGCCC